ATGGAAATCATTATGAGGTGTCTGTCAAAAAAGCTCATTATGAGGTGTCTATCTCTAAGGGCGCATAATTTGTACAGTATTGGCGACTCGTTCGCATCGACGGAGTTAAATTAACATTAACGTCGTTATTAATATTTAGCGGTAGGTATAGTTCAACGATCTCGTGTGCCCAGGCCCTGTTTGGTAGCCCTTGTATTAAAATCCTTGGCTTGATTGGAGGGGAAGGTTGGGTTATAATTTCGAGAAAGTGGATCATAAATCTTTCCTTAATTTGTCTGCTGAGCGCGATAAATGCTGAGAAAAGGAGTGTAAAAGTTGGCACTATCTCTTTGATCTACTTTCAGTTAATCTTTCTGTTCAATACTCTTTTAAAGCGTACCATATGTGCTGCGAGTATCGACCTCAAAGGGAAAATTACCCACTTCTCACTTTTTACACCACTAAGGTAAGACTCTGATTTTGAAATTGGACCAAGTTGTCCCGCTCAATTTTGTGTCTCTAATTGATGAAAGAGTAGTCTCCATTCTATTTACCCCTGCCTTTCCCTTTTACAATCTGCTCTGACCTATTCAACACAGGAAGAATGAAATCTCGCCATTTACCCTAGGTGTGCGCACGTGACCCGAAGATATTATTTGCGCCTCTGATTTGTTCTGAAGATGATTACACACTGCCTTTTTCACATTCATCCGCTTTGGCGCGCAACCTTAAGGTCAATAGAGACTAGCTTGTGTTCCCAGTGCGCCCGATTTGATCAATTGACTATCCTAGATGTTTATATAGGTTGCATATTAAGGATTAATCAGCAGCTACCTAGCCTTACTATAAATACTGTGTACATTGGGTTAAGGATGACATTTTTAGGGTAAGCTTGTTCTCAGAGAGTTGACCCATTCAAATACGGATTCAAGCACGAAAATTGAAATTTTGTCTAATTTGCTTCTCTTCTGAGTTCGAAAACTGAACTTTTGATTTCTCGCCAATTCCTGTTTGATAAAAACAGATATTATGAAAAAAATTATTGGGATCGGTTTTTTTTTTGACACGCTTTGGAAAACATTTTCTCTTTTTTCAAATATTTAGTTTTTCTCAAAAACTACTCTTCCGATTTTTGAAAAAGTGGTACCAATCGCATGCTGCGTAATTTATTAGACTCTCTCTAATTAACCCCACTTTTTACAGCCTTCGAAAAAGTGTGGGGGGAATTTTTGACCCATATTTTTGGATTTATTACATTTTCTCGAAAACTACCCACCGATATCTGAGATTTTGGGTTCAATTGACAGAACAGGTTGTGGTAAGCTTCCCTGTGTTAGGTTAGCGGCTGCGCCCATTTTTTTTGTACGCAAAAAATTATGGCCACCAAAAAAGTCTAATTTTCGATTTTTTGACCGTTTTTCAAACTTATTGATTTTTTTTAAAAAGCTACCCTCCAGAGCCTGAGGTTTTGGTTTCATTGTGTAGAACGGCTTGCGAGAAGCTCTTCTGCATAAACAATTACGCACAAAGTTTTTTAACACACAAAGTTATGACCCTCGGAAAAGTCAATTATTCGAATTTTTGACTCTTTTTTGAAACTTTTTGATTTTTCTCAAAAACTACCCTCCCGAATCTCAGATATTGGTTTCATTGTCAAGAACGGGGGCGTTCAACAGTACTTAAGTACAGCAATATGGAAAAATGCGGGAAAATTTCAAAATAATTTAAACGCAATTTCTAAAGAGCGGAAAATGACTGGAGCTAAATAACAAAGAAAATCACTCGTTTTTGCCGCCAAAATGTCTGAAACTGCAAATAAGTCAATTATTTTGGCGCCAAAACGTCCAAGGTGCAAATTTTTTTGCTCTGAATTTTTAATTGCTTTTTGCTATTCACTTAATTGATTCCCGTTTAATTTTTGATTGCCGCACTTAATATGTTCAAATTTGTTCCTTCAAAAAGGGCTGGTTCCCGAAACTTAGATATTGCCGGCTATCGTTAGAGAAAAAACAAAACAACAAAAACTAAAGTTTTTTACATTTGAGTTGAGAAAAATTGTTAGGCAACAACCGCCCTTGATATTAGTTTGAACGAAATAACTAATTGTCCAGCTATTCACAACCATCGACGATTACACTAAATCTGCGGAAATTCGCCAAAAAATTTTTTCAGCTGTCGAAATTGAGCATTCACAAAATTTGTCTGAAATTTATGAAGATGTCGAAAAAATTCTGAAAATGACGAAAATCTTATTTCAAATTTCCGGAAAATTCGCAAATCGTGCGGATTGCGATACAGTTTTGGCCGATAGAACTTTCAAAGCAGCGTCAGAGCCATTTTTTCAAATTTATTCGATTTTTGGTTTATTTGAAAACCAAAACATTCCTCCAATTTTCGCTTTCCTTTCAAGCAAGTCTTTAAGAATCTTACAAATTCTTATTAGTTTTTCTTGTACATGTGAAAAAATTGGACGAATTTCCCTGATTTTTTTTGACTGATTAAGGAAAAACATTTACTGCAGCAATTTGCGAAGTTTTTCCCGAAGCTCAGCATTTGGGCTGTTATTTCCGTTTCATAAATGTCGCGGAATAGTCCTACGATTGTTTGCATTGCTTTATTTTCCTATCGGCCTGGTCAGAACAAACTACTCGCGAATCAAGTACGATCGCAAAAATTTCCACTTTTTTTGAGTATTTTCAAAAAACTTTGTCTTGGCTCAATGGACAATATCCATTAAAACTATGGAACTTGTATGAAATACCAGCTTCACTCACCACCACAAATAATTGTGAAAATTGGCATAATATCTGGAACAAAAAAAATAGGGCGATTTCATCCAAAGTTTTGTGTTTTGATCCGAAAACTGATGCGAGAATAAAAAAAATGTCGAAACTTGCCTTGAAATCTTTTCATATTGGAGGCATTCCACGGAAAGCTAAGAAAGAAGACAGAAAAAAAGGAGCAAATAGCGGCAGGCATAGAAGCGAGCCTATGCATTGAGAAATCAAAACCTTGAAAACTATTGGAAAATTTAGTGTATTATATGCTATAAACAGTAATTCAAGCTTTCAAGTGTTTTTTCATTTTTCGGCACTGTTGAACAAATTTTTTTCGGCACTGTTGTACTGCCCCAGTAGAACTGGTTGTGGGAAGCTCCGCTGCATAAGCGGTTACGTCTAAACACAAGAACTTAAGACTATCGGAAAAGTTCAAATTCTCGATTTTAAACCCTTTTTTGAAACTTTTTGACGTTTGCATTGCTTTATTTTCATATCGGCCTGGTCAGAACAAACTACTCGCGAATCAAGTACGATCGCAAAAATTTCCACTTTTTTTGAGTATTTTCAAAAAACTTTGTCTTGGCTCAATGGACAATATCCATTAAAACTATGGAACTTGTATGAAATACCAGCTTCACTCACCACCACAAATAATTGTGAAAATTGGCATAATATCTGGAACAAAAAAAATAGGGCGATTTCATCCAAAGTTTTGTGTTTTGATCCGAAAACTGATGCGAGAATAAAAAAATGTCGAAACTTGCCTTGAAATCTTTTCATATTGGAGGCATTCCACGGAAAGCTAAGAAAGAAGACAGAAAAAAAGGAGCAAATAGCGGCAGGCATAGAAGCGAGCCTATGCATTGAGAAATCAAAACCTTGAAAACTATTGGAAAATTTAGTGTATTATATGCTATAAACAGTAATTCAAGCTTTCAAGTGTTTTTTCATTTTTCGGCACTGTTGAACAAATTTTTTTCGGCACTGTTGTACTGCCCCAGTAGAACTGGTTGTGGGAAGCTCCGCTGCATAAGCGGTTACGTCTAAACACAAGAACTTAAGACTATCGGAAAAGTTCAAATTCTCGATTTTAAACCCTTTTTTGAAACTTTTTGACGTTTGCATTGCTTTATTTTCCTATCGGCCTGGTCAGAACAAACTACTCGCGAATCAAGTACGATCGCAAAAATTTCCACTTTTTTTGAGTATTTTCAAAAAACTTTGTCTTGGCTCAATGGACAATATCCATTAAAACTATGGAACTTGTATGAAATACCAGCTTCACTCACCACCACAAATAATTGTGAAAATTGGCATAATATCTGGAACAAAAAAAATAGGGCGATTTCATCCAAAGTTTTGTGTTTTGATCCGAAAACTGATGCGAGAATAAAAAAATGTCGAAACTTGCCTTGAAATCTTTTCATATTGGAGGCATTCCACGGAAAGCTAAGAAAGAAGACAGAAAAAAAGGAGCAAATAGCGGCAGGCATAGAAGCGAGCCTATGCATTGAGAAATCAAAACCTTGAAAACTATTGGAAAATTTAGTGTATTATATGCTATAAACAGTAATTCAAGCTTTCAAGTGTTTTTTCATTTTTCGGCACTGTTGAACAAATTTTTTTCGGCACTGTTGTACTGCCCCAGTAGAACTGGTTGTGGGAAGCTCCGCTGCATAAGCGGTTACGTCTAAACACAAGAACTTAAGACTATCGGAAAAGTTCAAATTCTCGATTTTAAACCCTTTTTTGAAACTTTTTGACGTTTCTTGAAAACTACCCGCCCAAATCTGAGATTGTGGATTCAATGGAAAACACGGGTTGAGGGAAGGTTCCCGGTTTTAGCGGCTTAGCCCATTTTTTAAAGAGAAAAATTATTACCCTCGGAAAAATCATACTTTTCGACCTTTTTTTCAAACTCTTCGACTTTTCTCGGAAACTACCCTCCCATATCTGAGATTTTGGTTCCAATGAGTAGAACGGGTTGTGGGAAGCTCTCCGGCATGAGCGGCTACGCTCAAATGTTTTTCGCAAAAATCAAACTATACTTTTTTGACCGTTTTTTGCAATTTTTTAACTTGTCTCCAAAATTTTGAAATTACTTTTTCCATCCCGCATCAATACAAAATATTCTAAAATTATCAAACAGGTATTTCCAGCTTTAGTTGGCCTCTAGTTATGTTGTTATAAAATGAATTATTTTTTAATCACAAAATACGCCTAGATTGAAGATCAAATAATTTTTGTATATCTAAGACGTGATTTAAATGGCCTTTACAACAGGTTTACGCTACTGGTACTTCTTTTTTGAGAGGCTATTTTGTCACTTCGTGCGGTGTCTTTTGATTTTCTATAATCATTTTTACACATCATCTTAGTTTACGTTCATAAATATTGAGTTGAGTTTGACTCCTAACGTTCAGTTTCAATTAGTGATCAAAACATAGTTGTGACCTTTAACCAAAGCTAATTGAAACTTTCGATCTAAGTTTTGTCAAAATTTTACCTGCGTTATCTAAAATCACCGGAAGTTGCCTGCGTTCCAGATGAAAGAGAATGTTATCATGCTACTCTTTGACCTCAAGAAATCCGATTAGTCGAATACAATCTCAATTTTACCCTGATATCAAAAAGCTATCCTGGAAACAACTGCCTAATACATAGCAAGCTAAAAACTTTCAAGCTATCAGTACACATCCAAGACAAAATAGTCAAGCTGCTAGTCATAGCCGGAAAAAATGCCAAAAATAGCGGTTTTGGGCTGCGGAATTTCTGGGCTATCAAGTGCCTACCGAATTCTGTGTCAATTTGGATGCGAAGTCGAATTGACGGTTATTTCGGAGTACAGTTATGAACAAACTACTAGTAGAGTAGCCGCTGGATTATGGCGACCAGACGAAAAATACGGATCTAGTCCAGAAATGACGGAAAAACTGAAACGATGGTTTCTAGAAACACGAATCTATTATGAGGAAGTAATAGCGAAAGGAGAGGAATGGGAACGTGGAATTTCTTCTAGCTTTCTACTAAAATTTGAACCGAAAGAAGAAAGATCTAATATATTGTTTGACGACATTGTTCCAGTATCGTTTCGATTGGAGAAAGACCAAATTCAAGCTTTATACCCGCACGCCGAAATTCCGACAGAAACGTTGTACGCCAATTTAAACCGAAATTTCATGTGTCGACCGCGAATTTATATGCCATGGATGATCAGCGAAATCAAAAAAATGGGCGGTAAGTTCGAAATTGGGATAAAAGTGAAAAGTTTCGAGGAACTGAGCGAGACTTATGATATAGTGATTAATTGTTCGGCAATGTCTGCTAAAGAGTTATTGAAGGATGACCTTATGGTTCCGGTTAGAGGTCAAGTTACGGTTGTCCATGCCCCCTGGATCAGTCAGAGTTTGCAGATAGACTTTTCTGGATATATTCTGACAGGTAGTGATGGTACGGTTACTGTAGGGGGGTGTTACCAAGAGGGTGTAGTGGATTGGAGCATCGATTATGATCTAAAAGATAAATATTTTGAAAAGTGTTGCGAGTTTGTTCCATCATTGAGAAAAGCAGAGTTCATTGAAGATATGGTCGGCCATAGGCCTTTGAGGAAAACAGGTCCGAGGGTAGAGATGGAATTTTGGACAGTAAAGAGTGGACATAAAAAGTTGCCCATAATCCATAACTATGGCCATGGACCAGAAGGGTGGGGTTTGCATTGGGGAACGAGTGGAGATGTATTGAAGCTGTTCATAGAATGGATGAAGTCAAATTAGTTATCAGTTATAGCCAAGCTAAGAAGTGTATTTATCATAAATGTAATTATCTATCCAAATTAATAATTTTTTATAATAGAGTTGATGTATATATATTTTTAAATTAAACCGAAGAGTTTTAGTGAAATGCGACATTCCTGATTTATATCCAAATTGTAAAGATAAATTTTTTATATTTTTGATTTTATTTGTAAGTATAAATCAGACGTTTCTTACTTCTAATTTTGCATTTGGTAGAAAAAGTGAGTTAGCAAATTAGCAAGTTCATATAGCTGAGAAAAGGACTTTTTTCTCATATAACTGAGAAAACGAAAACACTTAATTGAATAAAAAAGTTAAAACAATTTTTGGTCTCAGTTACAAATAGAGGCGAGTGTCAGCCATCTTGCCCACATATTGCCTCTCGAGGTGCAAAGTGACACGAACAATTTTTATTGCTTCCTTGTTTTATTAAATTTTTCATGAATTGCTTCCACAATTGATCCATTACTGTATGTGACTTGAGTGTCACTTCTTTGATGAAATGTTGTGTTTTTAAATGATCGATTAGGTGACTCTGATTATCTTAGATCTCTTTTAAATATAGTCGCTGTTTCGTAGACCGTCAAAAGAATTGACTGAATAATTGCTTGTTGTTGCAACCTCTCCCAGTTAAGTTTATATGAAGTTATCCTGAAAGCACAGCACGTATTGCTGCAACCACTTCACAAAATGGAAGGAAAAAAGTATAGCCTAGTGTGTAATTGTTTTCAGTTGAATTCGGAAAGCTCAAGAAACGATCGAAATTGATTTAACTGAAGAAACTTATTTAGGTCACATATTTTTTTTTGTTTTTTTTTCATCACTCGTTTGACTTTTGATTTTTTTCAAGTTCAGTTCATTTCCTCTATTGAAAGGAAGGCAAAATCCACTATCGAACAGCAAAAGTATAAAGGTCATGAAAAACGTGATCAACTAACTTCTCATTTGGAAAGTAGATTATAATTTTAAAGTTTGTTAGCGAAATTTACAAAAAAACTGCCGATTTATCCAGTTTTCTCTATTTGAGTTAAAATTATGAAAAAATTGTTTGTCATAAAAGAATCGGAAATTCAAAGAATTTTTACAGGATTCATTTATTTTCAAATTGCGAATTTTCTAAGTTTTTGTTCCCTTGTGTCAATAATTCGACATTCGCCACCTTTTGGTCTTTATCCCGCCAACTAAATTTCGAGTAATAGTTTGGTGTGAATAGTTTTAGGATTATGAGTGCAAAACTTATTTTGAAGTTTCCTTCGTGCAAAACTGCTTATTAATGAACTTCTGTGCCTTGATTTTCTGCTACAATTTTTATGCCTACATTCTTCTGCTCAATCGTTTGTACGTAGTTTTAAACACTCTCGGCCTCTTAGTTCCAAACCTATTTTTCTTGCTCATTTAAAGGTACCATTAAAAAATTAACACGTACGTATAAAATATTAACTCAATCGGGTCCGGTTAAAACAACCGTAAAAAGAATTTTTCCTACCAGTCCTTAATAATTATCGGAGCTAGCTCTCTACATCACGCTCTCCAGACCCAGCACAGAGAAAACAACGTGAATTGAAGAACCGAGTCATTACAATTCCCGGACAACAAAATCAACAAGAAAAAAAAACGATCCAGTTTCTTCTCAGTCACGCTCTGAATAAAACAGGGAATTATTATCTGGCACGACGTCATCTATAACTCCCTAACAAAACACAGCAGCAATAACTTCACTACAAAGTTTAGGAACAGAAGTTGTGGAAACGCTAACATTGTTTTCAAAACAAATCAAAAGAGTGGTGTACTGCAACTGATTCGGAGCAGCCGATATTTTTTCGGGTTTGAAGGCAGCCAAAAAACATGACATTATAGAAGTAATGCCTATCATTGAAAATCTGCTCCCGAAAAAGGAAAAAAACCTGATCTTGTCAAGCAGTATCGTGGTCTTCATCAACGTTCAACTTTAGAACTCAAAAGATTCAGAGAAACCTTGATAATCCCAGCAGACCTGGTTTGAAGAAAACCCCGAAAAGATTCCAAGAAACGAAGGAACCAGCAGAAAGAGGCGGAACAATTTTAATGTTTTATATGCACTTATGATGTTGCGAAAGGCTGAGATTTGATTGTTTAGTGGCGTGGTTGAAGAACTAGGGCGCCTAAGAGTCCAACTTGTCCTTTGCATTATCAAACAGTGTTCATACATTCTACCTCCCCATTGCCTTTACATCGGTTTAGCATATGAGTTTTAATAAAGCTTTTGGATGCAAACTTGATATTGCAGGAATGTCCGTTTTGTTGCAAGTTAGCTGCAGTTTTTCGGGGTGTTGACTAGTGTCTGATTTCAGGAGCGCCAAATGTCAAGGCCTTCGATTGATGGGGGTAGTTGGGTACCGCACGGGGGGCCGTGTTCCCTGTTTTCTTTATTAGGTTTCAGTATTGTATTCGAGTTAACTTTTTTCACCCTCTTGTTAATTCTATGATATACCAAAATGGTTACTTTCAAACGCGGGAATAATCATCATCATGATCAAGTGGATTTTAATTTTTGGGTTTTCCAGCGGAAAAAAAATACCATTGACTAAGTTTTTTTTGCAAATTGGGTTATTTCATCAAAAGTGGCAAACATAACAGTATCTGGAAACTCAAAAAGCTTTAAAGTGATGTATTTTGCTCTTTGAGACTTAAAAAGTTGAAGTATTTTTTCAAACAAGTCAATCTTTAAAAAGTCCATCATGTATTCCATCATCACAAAAATACATCACGATAAAGTTATATGATTTTTAGGAGCCTTCAATGAGGAAATAGCCAACATGAGACTCCATTTGAAACAGCCAACAGACTGTTAGAAAAGAGTCAATGAACGCAAGGTGATCCCTTGAGTTCATTGAAATTTTTCCAACTGTCTGTGTATTATAGTTCGAATTGGGCTAGTTTTATGAAAAAATAATGCCAATCATTAAATATTCTTGAAAATTTTTTTTCCTCGAAAGTTGAAAAATCTTCCCAAAAAAGTCTATCCTCTTTTTTTTTGGTTTTCTTGTCTTCATTGACACTTTTATGTTTTCTGTGAACTAGATTTTTTTTTGCTGGTTGAATTTCGAAATGAAATGATACGGAAAATTGCGCTCTATCAGTTACAAAAGTGGTTCCAATTTTTGAATGGTCGGAAGAATGAAAATATTCTGCAGTTGTGATTATTCAGGCTCCGTGGTTTATAGTTAGTGCCTACTGTAGCATTGCTAAATTAATCTTTGGCAGTACATCGACTCTGGATTAACCAAATCGTTGTGTTGAAATAGTTTTTTTCACCCATTTACCAGAAGTAAATCTTTGTCTTAACTCAGAGTTTTTGATTTTGTTTTCAGGCTCTATTTGAATTTTGAAAAAAAAAAAAGTTTTCGATTCCCAAAATGGCGCAAACAAAACTCGAGAAACTAACTTTACTCGAGTATAGCTACGTTTTCACGGCCTAAATGAAGCATAAATAAGCTATTTTAAGCCTTCTCGCTTACCTTATTCTCTCGAAATTACCAAAAGTCAAAAATTTCAAACAGGTTTTTCTCGACAGAAATATTTTCAAAATTTTAAAATGTCCATCGAATCACCATTGAAAGGACTCTAATATGATGTGTCACTCGACATTTTTCGATGATTATTTGTGGTACCTGATTTTGCCAGGAAGAAAAAGAAAAACTAAAACACGTGAATACAAAATTTCAATGTTAGGAACAATAACTAATTGCTTTTTCGTGTGCTAATTGTTATTGTAATTCTCTATTTAGAATTCTGTAAGAAATTAAGCATTTTAATTAAGTCTAGTTCATAGATTGTTATTACTTCATAGAATAGTTAAAATTTTGAAACATCCATTACAGTCTTTTGTTCAATAAGTCTTGTGATCATTGAGTCTTTTAATTCACGCATGTTTTCCCACGTCATCTCCAAAGAAGACAATTGGGCGTCTGTCACTGTAGCTGTTGTCATCATCCGAATTCACTCCCGTCAAAATCAGTGGAGTGTGAGCTGAAATACAAAAGCACCCAGCTTAATATACCTTCTAAACGGAAGAAATATGCCATAATTTGATTTTTATGGTGTAGTTTTATGATGTTAGTCCCGCTGTTTTATTGTCAATGACAATTATATACGATTGATCCTGCTTAATTTTGAGACTCAATGCGCATGGAATGATGTTTTTTGAAGCCATAAATTTGATTAAACTATAATTTATGAGGGCAATAAAGTGAAGAAACGTCTCCGCTGAAATGCGTTGAAAATATTGATTGATTAGTTTGCTAATTTGGGAACCTTCAGCAAGGTATGTTTTAGATGGTAAAAAATTAGTCGTATGCGCCTCAAAAATAGAAATAGTTCATAATTTTTTGCGTATAAATAACGTTTTGTAGCAGACATGCTAGTTTTCAACTTACTGATTCTGTATCCGTAATAGTACTTGAACACAATATAGCAGAACAGTCCAGTCCCAACAAGTAGAATAGAGAACAACGCCCAGTGTGCAATGAACGCTCCTGAATCGCCCGCTTTTTTGCTCTGGAATTTAGGAGTATCAGTTTTGGAGTTCCAATTCTCTCCTGATTCATCCTCGTAGTCGTAATCATTATCGATAAGCCATCGCCATTTAAAATCATTGCCTGCATAATCATAGTCATAATATTTGTAGTCTTCGTCATAACCCCCAATTCCGAGCCAGTAGTCATAGTCCTCGTCATCCGAATCATCGCCATCTTTATGATTTTCCTGATCTTTGGAGTAGTCATAGTGGTAATCGCCTTGTAGATCGAGTTCGTTGAAAAAATCATGCCAATCATCGTAGTCGAAATCTACGTAAAGGTCACCGAAGTCTTTGTTGTCATTTTTCTCTTCGCCTTCTTTCTTCATTATTTCGTTTTCGTAGCTTTGTACCTTATTGGCTTCGTTTGCTTTGACTTCGTCTTCTTTGTTTTTAGGTACATTGACGCCTCCAGTAATGTCTTTTTCACTTTCGCTGTTTTCTTCGGCAGTCGCTCCGTCCTGTTTCTCTTGAGTTGGAGCGGCTGTTTTCTCGTCAACCCCTGATTCAGATTTCTCCTCCACCTGTATTTTATATATATTATCTTGCACTGGAAGATGAAGAATTGGTTCTGAGGGTTTCTCTGGATGCCTATGAATATCAGCATTTTCAGGAGGAATTTCAGTTTCCTTTGGTGGCGGCCTAAGTGCAGTTTCGCCTTCAGAAGAAATCTCAACATTTGCTTGGTCATTCTCAACTCGAATACCAGTAGATGCTGTGCCCACTAGAACAGCACCTACGTCTGTCTTCGTAGACTTTGATGCTGGTATGGAACTTTGTTCTAGTGCTTCTTGCTCAGAAGTTGGTGCTGGTGATAGAGTCTTAGAGGAACCTTGTGGTTCATCTTGCGGTCCTTTCGCATCGACTGGTTCCTGAATCATAGGTTCATCACTCAAAACTTCCGTTAGAGAGTTTCTGATTTCTTCATCAGTTTCAACATTGACTTGTTTTTGATTTTCTGTGTGGACAATCTGTGGTGCCGTGTCTTCATTTCCTTGTGCTGACACAAGAACTCCAGTTTGCAAAGCAAGTAGCAGGAAGATTTTGATTATGAAAACCTTCATTCTGGTTGCCAAGCGGCGCTGAAATTTTATTTGCTCAATGAAATTTGTTCAAATAAGAATAAACTTGGAAAGTTTTCAAATTTGATTTAAATGGCAATATAAAAGTGACGAAATTGGATAGGAATGCGCTTGTATTTTCTATAGCTCCGAGGTAACTGAAATTTCTAGCCGCTGTGACTATGCATTTAAAAAAACGAATGTAGAGCTTATGGTGCAAAATCACGTGTATACAGTATAAATATACGCAGTTCTTGTGATTTTTTATTGTAACATTCTTACCTTACTGTGATTTTCTGTTTGAAGTATTGTCGAGCAAAAAGCTTGCTTTGTGCGTAAGCGTTGAGATAAGCTGACGACTTGAAAGTATTTTCAGATACAACAAGCTGACTATTTTTTGAGTCCAATTTGTGACAATGGACCGCTGAAAAAGTTAATTCATGCCAGAGCTGATCATTTTTCAACTAAAACTGAAACTTGTTCTGATACTAGTTTACGTAATCTGAATGTTGTCATGTAATTTTTGCTCCAAAACTACTTCAAATTTTCCTTGTTTCTCAGATGACGGAGAAAATGCTTGATTAGAGAGAGTGTTGGATAATCAATTCTAAGTGCAAGTTATAACTTCTGAAGTCATGGACAGATTTGCTTGACAGACAGAATCGGGGAAAGAATTGTGATCAGTGGGGAAAATCACTTCCACTCAAAAGGCGTATTACTTCTAAGTCCTTAAAGACGGCGCACTGTAAGCAACCAAGTGCAAAGCAAAAAAAGAAGTCCTAAGTAACTGCCAAATTATATATTCATACTGAGGCCTTTCAGTAACAATACTGAAATTTTTCTTAAATGAGGAAGTGTGCGTTTTCATTTCTCAGAAAGGGTTATCAACTGATTATTTAAAGAAGATTTTTTTTCTCATTGTTAATGGTAAATATGCAGAAACGAAAGTTATGACATGAAGCACCAGAAACAGCGAGGGGACAGCTAACGAACCAATTTGGGTTAGAAAGCACTGCCGGTTGTATTGAATGAATTTACAAATTGAAGATCTTCATGGAAAGTGGAAAAATATGTGAAAACATAAACGAAAAGATTTGTAAAAAAATGACGAAGTTTGAATAAACATAAAGCAACTGATATATGGCATTCTCTAGACAGGTTAATGACATAAATCGGAGCTCTGCGTCGACATTTGAAATGGTTGTTTAATCGTAGACGGTATAAATATCAGGAAAACTTGACATCATGAAAAGTAACTACCTTTTATTCGGCATCAATGTAATTTGATCGTTCAAACTTATGAAAGTAATTGTTTCTTATGGAAGTCGGTGGTATAGTTTTTCAGACAAATCAAGCAAAGAGTTTCTGCTGGAAATTTTTTTTTGTTATTTTAATTTCGTACAATTTAAATGGGAAATTAATTACGTCTTTTCAATAAATCGTATAATTCTCCATCTTATTTCGATTGAAGAAGGATCATTGAGATTTTCGAAATTCTTTAGAGTATATTTTTTCAATGATTTTTATGGACTTGTTATTAGTAGCTGCATGCAAATATTGTTAAGATACCAGCCCTGTTTGTCTAGATCCTGTCTATTATTCAGGTCTCTGTTCATTTTTTTTTCAGTATTACATAATTTTGGAGATTGAAATTTAAGCGTCATCTCGTAAAACAGTGAGGGCATATACAGTTTGAATTTGAAAACATAACAGCTCTATTTTTTGTACGGAAACTTTTTTTTTCAGCTCAACTGACATCTACCCAACGATTTTCAGCTCAGTTGCAGCCCTTTAAATTATTTTGAATGCCTTTTTGGTGATGGTCCTCATCACGTTCCTCAAATTGAACATTATGCGAGATGAAGTTATGAATTTTCTCAAGATTTAGTTTTTGTTGGGTTTCTTCCAAATGATTACATAGTGGCTTTCATCCCATCTTCTGTATGCTAGCTCGCAATGCTATGTTCATGAAAATAAATTGGCAATTATTTAAGATATCATCTTTAAAGTAAAAAGCAAACTCTTGTCTTAAATAGTCGAAAAATGGACACTTCCCATGAATAACATTTTACTTTTTTGATCACCGATTTCCGTCAAAGAAAAAAAAACAAATGATGTATCTGATTGGATTATTCTGTGCTACTTGCACAGCGAACTTTTCTTGTTAAATTTATTATTTGAGTTATTTTTAATGACAAAGGTCTGAAGTTTCTGAATTATTGGACGGCCTCAGCGAGAAAGTTATTCGAAATAATTTTAATGGGAGAACAAATATGTATGATTACTATTGCAATTAGCTACAAGCGTTATTGAAACAGTTTTTGTTTATTAGGATAAAAAAATAACTTTTTATTCTGATTAGAATCACAAATGACGCGCGCGAGGATGAGATGGAGGAGAACATCAATGCGGTGAGTGGGGTGATCACAAATCTGAAACACATGGCCACTGACATGGGCAACGAGATCGACAGTCAGAACAGACAGCTGGACAGGGTTAACGAGAAGGCCAATCTGAACAAGAACAGGATAGAGGAGGCCAATAAACGGGCCACCAAGATACTAGCCAAGTAGAGCTGCAGGGGGAAGAGGAGGAGGAAGGATCAGGTCAAGGCAGAGGTCACAAAATTGGGTCAAACGTCTACAGTACCAACTATTTTAATACGATTCATGCACGCAGTTGTCAACATCTTAGTAAAAGATACAATGACGACTATTTAAATGGAAAAGTACACATAATTAGAATACAAAGCGATTGGATTCAAAAATGATGCATCAGTGACAACCGAAGAAAGTTTTGAAAACTCAAAGTGGCTGAAGTTTTTTTACTTAACGTTAATTTCATTTTTGGTGATTTATTGAAGACTGGTTAGAAAGGCATGATTTGTGTAACATGAATGGTATGATGAAACCAAATACCTATAAAATCTCTTCCCTCTTCCCAGATAGTGCGTTAAAAACATCAGGAAGTTCTCTTGATTCTCGAAATTTTAGAGCTGTATTTATTTGCATGAGTAGATAAGAACAGAATTTGCTTACTAACAATTGTTTCCAGCTTGTATCCGTCTTGAATTGCTTTGTGCTTGTAAATTTAATGTCAATTTGTATATTATTTGCTGTTTTTTGGTCGAAGGTTGTCAATTAGTTGAAGATAGTTATGTGCTTTCCATACCAATCTTAAGTTACCCGTTTAATTGACTCCTTACCTTATCAAGTTAGCATGCGTCTAAATTGTGCCAGAATTAGTTTAATTAAGACAGTGTTTTGGGCAATTTTTAATTACAAGTGGGAGTGAAATTTCGGGTAACTGTCTTGCTTTTTTTGATACCATCCTTTTGCAATAATATTTCCCTCAAAAGTCTTTTCTGTGCAATATATACCCATGCTTATTTTTGTTGATTTGAAGTGAACGTTCTCTTCTCTATTTTTGTAACATCGATGCTTAAAGATCGTTTTTTAGATTCGGTATTCATTCAAGATGAAATTAGTTTTTCAAATGAACTGAACAGATATAAAAAATACTTTGTCAAGTTTGGTTTTTGGAGAATAATTGTACTGCTAATTTAAAGGCTCGTTTTTTCTAGTTCAGCTCAAATTAGATGCTATGTTTTGTTATCTGTTTCGGTATCTGGAGGCAAAATGGTTGTGATTGTTGAAATTGTTTCTCCAATTGAGCAATATATTTGATTTTAGGGTTCTTTTGGGATCGAAAAAAAGACTGATTCAAATCTTACGCTATTGGCTCTCTACAATAGAGTTTAAGGCGTTTTTGTGGTGCAATTATTTAAATTGCATCAATTGTTAAAGCGAAGGGGAGGTTTTCTCTTGCAGCTATTCATCGGAGCTCATTATAAATTCAGCATAAATTATAGCAACTGCCTCATTTATGGCTATTTTATGCCATCTGAATTGCGAAATATGTGCCAAATAAATAATCCATGCCAACCCTGACCATTTGCTCTCATATTTTTTAAACCAATTTTGACCTTGCATACGCAAAGTCTATAAATATTTTCTATCAAGGAAGTACAAATTAGAATTCATAATAATAATAATGAACTTGAGAGACAAATGGTATGGACAAATCACTGAGAAAAATGAGTTGAGTGTGTATAAATTTTAAATAATTGAATCGAAATGCAATGAAGGAATGGTGATAATGCTTAGATTTAATGTAGATTATAATAACTGGTTCTTAGTGTATACTTGGCTGGTAAGCGCAAAATGCAAACCTTGTTTCTATTTTTCTATTTATTTTTATCCGTGTAATTCAAATATTGATGTTCTCCTTTTTGTGATCAAAAAGACTTGAATGAAACATTCTTCCTAAGACATTGAACTGATCGAATTTGAAAAAAAAACAAGACTGCTCGTATATCAGGGCAAAGCCCTGAATGTTCCGACTGTCCCTTAATTTATATCGAGTAAGTTTTGGGGGAAAATACTCAAAATCTATACATTTTGACAATATCTAGTGTAAAAATTTTGAGTGGTACGAAATTAATGACCAATTAGCTAGCCTCAATTCAATTTGGAACGATTTTGTTGTGCGGGGTTATTCGCCACGCATAAGTAATTCGCGTTACGCTTTCAGCAATATGAATAAATTCTGCAAAACCCGCATAAATTAGTCCAGAACATGGCAAATTGGACAATTTTCAAACCCCCATAACTTTCCAAAAAAATAATCGGAAGTGATATATCTTATTACATTTGAACCCATGAAGTCGATATCTTAAGTTGGGTGTTAAACATTTTTGTTGAAAATTATTTTCGATCGGTTAAAGTTGAATAAATAAAAAAACCACACCGAGCATAAATATTCCGTTAACCACACCGAGCATGAATATTCCGTTTTCTTCGAAAGTTAGAACAAAAAACAGGCCAGATGCAGTGGAAGCTTTTTGGTCAAGACTTTGGGGGCAATTTAACAAACAATGTGACAGCCGAATCTTAAGTTTTCTAAGAAAGCTCTTACTGAATTTTTACATTGAAATATTAGCAGTGTATTGTTAAATCTGTAAATTGTTATGCAAATCTAGTTTGTATTGAAGTTAAACACGGAACAAAACTGCTCGTACCAAGGATAAGCTCTGAGTATTCACGCACTGACTTTCAACGTTCATTAAGTAGTTTTGATATAATATTTTGAGATTTTAGAAACAAAAATTATCCGCAACCGCTGTTTTTAAAAAGTATACAGGTTTATTTTGCATATTAAAACGCATCAATGAGACTAAATAGCTCGCCTAAATCTAATCGCGGATAGTTTTTGAGGCATATTAATTTGCTTTTAACGCGTTAGTAGATGCAAATTGAGATAGGGACCAGTTTTAAGTTTATGTAAATGCCATCAATTGTTTCTTTGTCTGGAGACCTGCTCCTTTGACCTTGTGATCTCCAACGTCCGTTCTGATCTGAAATAAAACAGTTCAGTAAGATTTCGATTTGATGCCTAACAGTTGAACTAAAAATACAACTTATTCACAATCTTTTGATATTCCAAACATACGACTTTAACATGGCGCAGCCAGCAGAGAAAAAAGGAGGAGGGAAAAATCCATTAAACATTGTAGCATTTTGGGAAGCACGAACACCGGAACCTCCAGTCTATTGGGAGGAGTGGATAATTAAGTTTCACTGGGGGATGATAGCAAAGTACGATATTGATCCCGATGATTTCTATTTTGCGAGTACTCTAAATGCGGCGGCTGTCGGGGCGTTGCCTGAAGAAGTAAATGGGAAAAACCGTCTCGAGTCGGAAAAGAAGTTAAAGTCTAATCTATATCTATGTATCGGAGACGAGGCGCAACGGATATTCAAAGCACGGAAACCGACGGTTAACATTAAAACTGAACCCACAAGTTCTAGATGAGATGCAAAATGTGTTCCAAAGAGAGAGGAATGTAACGCATGAACGGGGTCTTTTCTACGGAAGAAAACAACGTGAGAATGAAACGTTCGAAAAGTTCCATGCAGAACTAAGCGCTCTAGCAGGTAGATGTGATTTTGCAAATGCGGCCGAAAATGTTCGTGACATTTTCATTATGAATATGCGTGAGTCGGATTGCCAACGAGAATTATCACGATCAACTAAATTACCTGAAGAAGTCTACCGAATCGCATTGTCATACGAACGCGGGGAGCGCGCATACAAATCATATCCGGGGAAAACCAGCTTCAACAGCTCCGGCTATTTCAATAAAACAAGAACCGGTAAGTAACATAAGAAGGGGACAAGGATTTTTTCGAGGTCGCGGACGTGGAGGATACACCCAAGGATCAAGTAGTAGTCGAGGAAGCGGAAATAATCGGAGGTGTTACAATTGCGACGCACCAAATTTTACCCTGGATCACATTGCGAGCTTCCTGCAAGGGGAGCAACATGTAATTCATGCCGAAAATTGGGTCACTTTGAACGAACATGTCGAGGAGTTAGAAGAGGTACTAACCATTGGAGGGGACGAGGACGAGTCGGACTGGTTAGGGAGGAAAATGAGCATCATCAAAGTACACAAAACGTAAATGACTTGAACGAAGATCCAGTGTCGTGGGTCAATCAGCAAGGGTGCGGGGAAAACGAATCCATGACGTCGGGATCGGACGATTACATGGTAATGTCAATACACAGGAAGAGGAATGAAACCGAACTAAAGCTCCCTGGGGCCCGCGTGCAGGTTGAAGTATCAGGGAAGAAAATGTGGTTGTGGATCGATAGTGGATCCCCAGTGACTATTTTTAGCATTAACGACCTAAAAGTAACGTTAGGTAAAGCGAATATTCAACTACAACCTTCAAAAGACGAATTCCTGGACTATAACAACAATCGAATAAACATACTGGGGAAGGTAACAGTGATGATGTCATTAAACGGCTGGGCAGCACCAGCACAAGTGTCGGTTATATCCGGGAATCATCAGTCAATCCTGGGGCGGGATCTTATGGGCACCCTGGGCCTCGAGTTAGTCCAACGGAAGAAAGTGATGGGAATCACAGGGGAAGGAATCAGCCAAGAGGAGGAGAAATATGACGAATTGCAAACATACTTCTGTAAGTTGTACCCAAATTTGTTTACTAGGATAGGGCAAATCCGGAATGCAAAAGTAAGAGCTGAATTTTTTGACAATTTGAGGCCCATACAACAAAAAGGACGCAGGGTGCCAATCAGTCTACAAGATAAGGTGGATAAAGAAATTCATCGGCTAATAAATGAAGGGCATATCGTAAAATTACAAGAATGCTCAGATAAGTATTTCGTCTCTCCCATCGTAATTACTGTAAAAAAAGATGGAAGTATAAAAATAGCACTGGAATCAAGAGAATTAAACAAGCAGGTACACAAAAATAAGTACCAAATGCCAAATATTGACGAATTAATAGACGGAGTAAGCCAGATTATTGCGGAGAAAAAAGCGGGGAATGTATATTTTAAAACGTTGGATTTCACATATGCGTACGGGCAAGTCGCTTTAGAACAAAAAACGAGCGAACAATGCAATTTCTCACTCGTTGGTGGGAAATCCACAGGAACTTATCGTTTTAAAAACGGATTTTACGGGTTGACGTCAATGCCGGCGGAATTCCAAAAAGTAATTGACAATTTACTTAAAGAGTTCCCTCAAGCTAACGCGTTCATTGATGACATCTTAATTTCTTCGAAAGGAACTAAGATCGAACACATCGCGTTGGTCGAAAAGATATTGAAAAAGCTGGATATTTGTAATGTTGCTTTAAAGTTACGAAAATGTGAATTTGCGAAAACAGTGCGAATGGCTCGGATTTCGAATTGGGGAAAGTGGTATTACACCCTTAGTAAGAAAAACACAAGCAATTGAAGACCTGAAAACCCCTAAATCACGAAAGCAGTTGAAATCTTTGATGGGTTCACTACACAGTTTACACAAGTTTTTACCCAAACTCGCAGAATTAA